GGAACAGTATATTGTTTTCAGAATGAGTTAGAATAGTTCGTAAGGCGGTTGACTCGGTCTGGCGAGCCTTCGACCGTGAGAGCCGTGTGAGAGAGCAGCGGCATCGCGTCCGCCCCCCGAGGGGGCAGAATGTCAGGTGAGTCTAGCGTCTGTCATCCCGAGCGGCCACCGAATACTCTCTCTGTCTCACGGCATTGATGGTGATTGGTTGGACCGCCCGTTTGCGTCTGGTCAGATGCAGGCCGAAAAGCACATTCGCGCAGGGTCCTGCTCCGAGTGACTTGTCTGTGACGTCAAGAATTAGGTGGGCGTCGGGCAGAAACGACCACTACAAACTCACTTGTCCCGCTCTGTCTTGGATCTCATTTCTCGAGCCCTGACAGCAGCCATAGAGGCTAGTAGTCTTAGGCAGATAGTAAAGCCGCAAAATAAAAAGGCGACTGGAATGATAATTAGTGGCTTAATAGCTGCGGTCAGCCAGTCAAACGCAAACCCCAACTGGGGCACGATCCGAGACTCGAACTTGCAATCTTTTCATTTGACTCTAACGCTCTAACCATTTAGCCACGAGCTCGTTGTTTTGCGGTTAAGGCCTTGGGATATTGGCTGTAGTTAATCTAGTTTCACAGAATGCTAACGGATTTCACTTGTTTCGCCCTGCCTTGGATCTCGTTTCTCGGCCCTTGATATTATTGCCGTCAAAGACAAGGCAGATAAGAATACCACATCTAGTTTATTAGCCGTGGACAGCCAATCATATCCAAAATCTAAGTGGTGCACCAGGCGAGACATTACTTTCTGCCTAAGACTACTAGACCCTACAGCTGCCGTAAGGGTCCGAGAAACGAGATCCAAGGCAGAGCGGTACAAGTGAGTTAAATTTAGTATGTCTAAAAGCAACGCACGCCTAACTTATAAAATAGCATGCGTTTCGGGTTTCACGTTTCATGCATTACATGTCGTCACTCCCTTCCATATTGGATTTGCTGGCGAAAATGTTTCCAACATCTACATGTATCACTTCATGAACTGTCACAAATTTCTTTTCTTTATTTGAAACAAGTACAAACAGAAATCATGCTTTTAGCTAAGTTCGGTGTCCCAAACATTTCGCCTTTTTTCCTGTTATTAACTGTGGAGAAGATTGTTCAGATAATTAACTCGGATTGGAAACCTTTACTGTAACCTAGTCAGTGGTTATATCTGGACTAGGCTTATAGCCACTTAAAGTTTGTGCTAATTGAATATGCAACATTTGTCTTCAGTGAATATAAATTTTTCGAGACCTCACAAAGTCAAAAAATACAAACTGTAAATGAATTACAGGCCATCCTAAATGTAACCACTGACTTCAAATCACAGTCGAGTTTGGGCATCCGAGATAATTTCTCGAACAGTAATTTCTTCAAAGTATATGTTGCCGGAGGAGGGGGAGGAATTAAAACTGGCATTGCGGGGTAGGGTAATTGGAAGTGAATGACAACGGATTGCTGAAAATGCAATTTGAAAAGACCACAGTAAAGGTTTAAAACTCGGATTAACCTTCTGAAAATATTCTGCACTTTTAATAACAGGAAAAAAATATGACATGATCGCGACACCAAAATTAGGTCTGTGTGAAATTAGATTGCTAAAAACACGGTTTGAGCTTGCGCTTGATTTTGAATGTTCCAAATATAGAAATTAAATTGGCGACAATTAATGACATAATACATGTTAAAATGAGAAACATTTTAGTCAGCAAATGAAACGCTGAAGGCAGCTACGAAATGTGACGCATGGAACGCATGATGCGTGAAACCCATAAACTTGAAAGGGCAGGTGTGCGTTCTTTTTTTGGAAATGCTAAATAAAATTTAACATTTCCAAAAAAAGAACGTGCTCTTAATTTTTCAAGCTGCATGCGTTTTTGAGGGTTGTTGTGGGTTCGTCAGGTGTCCTCAGGTGTGATTCAGTCTTTTGCCGGAGTCGCAGTAACTTTGTGCAGAAACATTGTTTGCCACATGACTGCATATTCGCACAATTTGACACTATGCCGGCATTGCCAGCATGTTGGATAGTATCAAATGTGCAAAGAGTTGACAAAGCGTTAAATATAAAACTTAAATTTTCAGATATTGGCATAGAATAATGCTGGCGTTATAAATGCTACTTTCATCATTGTTTCAAACAAAACCGAAAAAAATGTAAGGCGCTGGCAGAATATACTGGCAAACATGTGTGCTATTGAGGCAAATGTTCGCATCCCAGGTACGTGTGCAGAAGGAGCCCGAAAGCTCAGACAAGTAAAAGTATGATTCCGGTGATCGCAACGCCTTCTACTTTCTGCTATATTACACTGTTTCAAAGGCGCCTGGATACGTGTGTAGTTAGGTGTCCCAGAAGCAAATTTTAGGGGTTCCGTCCCTTGAGATTTGGGATGACTGGCAGACGACGGCCATCTGACCAGAAATGACCACCCTGGTCTCCCTTTACTTTGTCGGATCCCTTTCAAAGGTATAGAGAACGAGGATACTGACACACATAAGGGAGACCGGGATGACCATTTCTGCCTTATTAGGCGTCATCAGTCAGTCATGTTAAAGATCAAG